CCCCCCCCCCCCCCCCCTCCTTGTAAGCTTAAGGAGACTTATTTTTACTTTCCCACATGACATCCCCTCCAAGCCATGGAAAGAACCATAATCCCATGATGATAAAAAAAACCTCTGGACTGATTGAACGGACAAAACGAAGTGGTCATATGACAACCAAAGGTAAATCGACAGCTAGTTAGGTGAAACAGGGAGGCCTGGGGCTAATTAAGTTGTTCCCTTGGGAATATGAACATTACCACCTCAGTACCCTGGTGAACTTTTTCACCACCCCTCAGCTTTTAGTGGTTTTCTACGGAATTTATCCATCAGTTCATACGGAAAAACACCTTTGACCGGTTCTTGGTTTTGGTGAATTTCATTCTTTCATCAGATTGGTTGAACAGCTGGTGCAAGTTTCCGAAGCTTATCTCGAAATTGATTTAACTTTTTTTGCCTTTCCAGAATTTGTGGATCAATAATATGTTCATTTTGTTCGCAAGAAACTCTTATCTTGTATCCCGCGGGAGAATCAGCTGCCGTACAGTGGTCTCTCATCAACATTATTGGTTCCCCGGATAAAGAACCAGCCGGTTGTTTGTATCTGCGAGTCTGTAACGCTTGCCATAGGGAAGCCGCAGAATTGCAGGGAAATACCGTTATTGATGGACCCACTGTGGGGTCAATATTAGATGATATAGTCAAAACCAACTCAACTCTTACACGACTTCAAGGGAAAATAAGTGACGTGCTCCCCAAGTATGGGTTACTTGTCGACGCCGTTGAAGCGAAGAGTGATTTGAAAGGATTGGTGCCTGTTGAGAGCAGTCCAACTCAGACACTCGCCAAATACCATTTGGATTTGTCTGATTTATTCACGCAATTTGCGGTTGATATGCAAGGCCTCCGACGACTTAAACCGCAAACTAACACTCAATTGAAGCTCGCAAAGAATGTGACCAGCAGTATGATTAATTTTTACTGTGATAGCATTCCAGTTTTTCGGGAGAGCAAAAAACGTTTGTTTGAAATACTTCCAGAGGAAATGTTGGAAAAAGTGCAAGTGATTGTGGATCAAAATGCCATAAACAGCTCGTACATCTATGTCAGACAGCTTGGTCTCGAAGCTTTGTTATTGTCAGACAAACATCAGTTCGACAACCAAGTTGCCGTATTCTTGGCAGACTGCGAGAACGTTTGCCTTGAAGATTTGAGGAGACAAATTGAGGCTTGTCGAGAGGACTGGGACCAACACCAGAAACTTCTCCGCGAGCTGCTTCGAAGCAACGTCAAGGAACATCGCCTAATCATTCCTTCTAAGAGACTCGCTGCGACACGAGGTGCTAGTTATGTTGAAGAGTACCTATTTGAACGCTGTTTTCTCATCGTGGCAAAGACAATTCATCAATTGAATGCCAAAACAACAGAGAAAAAGTTCTCGTCTTCCAAGAAAGCATTGCAAAACTTGAATGAACAGCTTACGCGTTTGCTGACAAGCATTGATTAAAAATATCATGTTGTGATTACAAATTTACTAATCAAACGAAAACGCTACATCTGTAAGCAAGGGGTATCGGTCCCCAAGGGAACCTCGAGTGATGTCTGCCTCTACGCAAAAATGAATCATGTACCTTCTGAACGTAAGACACATTAAAATTCTTTTAGAGTACTTTTTTTATTAACTCTTTTTTATATACAACTTTCTTGTTTATATGTGCCAAAGTCATGGTCTGGCTACGCACAACACACTATATTCGTAACGTCTGCCAAGAGAAGAAGTACTATAAGTTGCAATGACTTATGAAGACATGACTTTTTATCCATTTTTGATATATTTTTAAAGCAAGATTTTTCTTAAAAGCTGTTGTCCATTCGTATATCTAAGTATTTTCAAAAGCAGAAAAAAAAAATCCAATGAGGTAACCCTAGCTCAACTCCAGCCTTAGTGCCATTCGTCCATGCCCTTTCTGATGATAGATTTGTAGCAACCTTGGTGCCATGCGTCCACGCTATTTTTGATGATAGATTTCAAGCAACCTTAGTGCCATGCGTCCATGCCATTCTTAATGATAGATTTCTAGCAACCTTGGTTCCATGCGTCCATGCCATTCTTGATGATAGATTCCTAGCAACCGTACAACTCCAGCCGTAGTGCAATGCGTCCATGCCATTTCAGAGGATAGATTCGGATAGCTGTCGCGTGGAAGCTTAGTTCTCCCAAGTAGTTGGTGATGATATGGTTTGGCCCTGTATTCCCTTTGTAATTCTGGAAAATGAACACACTCTAACCATTTCAAGGTGTACTATACTAAAGAAATATATCCTGCTCTGGGATTTTGACTCAAAACATGACCCTAATTCTAGCTGTTTCGCGATAAAATTGCCACAAGTTTCACTGTATAGCCTCTGGGTGAAAATATGGCACTCAAACTGAATCACGGCGTAGTCAACGTAGCAATTATCTCTAAAGAGTCGAAAGTAATCCTTTATTATCCAGGATTATATTCATTTTGCTTTGCTTTATCATTTATCAAAAATTCAAGTTTCGCCACAACCTCCGTCAACCAATCAGATGCAAAACTTAAACTAAACGCGAATTGGTCTCTCGAGTTTTTCCGCGCCTGAAGCAGTGCGCTTGTGATTCAAGATATCTTTCGGCTCTTTAGGTATTTTCCTTCTTTTCAATTTTACTTCTCTATGGTTATACGACACTAAATTAAAAGCGCGGTGAATTTCGGATTTCATACCCAGCTTCCTCGCTCGATTGTGTCATCGCTGTCTTTCAAAACAAGAGTCTCGAAGTAAGATCTAGACTGCGTTAACTCTTTTAACTCCCAGAATTGATCAACATTCTACTTCTCCCGATGATATCCATGCATTACTCAGCAAAAAGATAATGAGAATATTCAAACTTATCCGGCAGGAGTTGTTATTTTGATCTAACACCAAATTCTCGTAACTCAGTGATTTAATGTAAAAGGAAATGTGAAGCACCTTGACGAGAGAATTAACAATCAGATCTTGGGAGTTAAAGGTTTAAATTGGTGTACATCTCTGTGTATCATATCTCAACAACTGTCCGTTACATTTCTATTAAAAGCTACTACGTACCGCAACTCGTCCAAGTTGGCTAGTAACATTCTTCCATCCTAACCCCAGGGAAAACGCTAAGTAGTACTTTTCTGTCCAGTTGTCTTGCAATGGATCGGCTTGAGTTTTAATTGCTTTGACGTTCTCTTTTCGTCCAAAGTTTACTTCCAAGTACTCTCCAAGGCTACTTTTAGCACTTCTCCAACACGAGGAGCCATCAAACCGCGCCTTAAAGGCCTGAAAGCCTGGTACTTCAGAAGAAGCAGTGATTTGACCGTCCGTTATATTGCCATCCTTCATTCCCAAAGGTCGATACGGAGCCGAACAGTCCGTAGGTGATACTGAGTCTAGCAAAATAAAGTTATAATTCATGACGAGTAAAATACAGAGTTACGGGCACCCACATTGTCATCATTATTAACGAGCCTTGGGTGGTAGGTTTTTAAATATTTAGTTCCTCTGGGGGAGGGGAAATTGAGTAGGGGTGGAGGGGGAGAGAAGGACTTTCACTCCTGCTCCTCCTCGCTTGCTGAAAGGAAAAAATGTCACTTACTTTCCTGATCAGTCATTTGTATTCAGAATCAAAATCGATTTTCCAAGTTCTCACCTTCACAAACTGGTCCAAAGAATCCTTCTTTACATGCACACTTGAATCCTGGGTAGAAATCAGTAGAAATACAAACCCCATCGTTCATACACGGTGAATTATCACAGGGTCTATACGGTCGATGTAAGTTATCTAAATACACCGTATCACTCGAATAGACAAAATACTTAGGCTCAGCACTCAGACGAGATGCATTGTTCAGCTCGCATAGTTGATAAGTGTACTTGAAGTTAAGACTGAAGCATTGTGGGTAATTTTGGCAGGCGGTGATACAGGTGATCAGGCCTACTTGTGACATCATTCGATACACGTGACTGATGAGAGAGTGCCCAAAGATAGAATGAACATCTTGACAACCGGTTTTTCCAGTTTGACCGGCAACAGGTTGAAACAGGATGAGAAGTATACAAGTTATCCAAGTCTTATTCTTCACGTCGGAAAAGATACTGTGGCCCTGAAAAAGTGGCAAAATCTCAACCTGTTATTAAAAATGAGAGGTTTTGGGGTTCCCAAAACTCAGGAAAATCAGATTAATCAAGAATTTGACCAAAAAGACCGCATTTAAAACTGAAATTTCGTTTTACTAGTGACTCACCCGAAACCACCTCTTCGGCTGTCGGTCGTGTAAGAAACAATTTGCTGGCTTTGCAATATTTGCAAAATTGAGCATTTTGGTATAACATAAATTGTCATGCTTCAGAAATTTAGCAGAAAGTAACATTGTTTTAGCGTGAATCAAACAGTGAATTGACACTTTTCGTTAGTAAGAAGAGGCGGAGTAAATCATGATATAAGCCATGAACTTACCAAAAGAGATGACAACGTCATCCCCTGAGAAAATTGAATCATTGTCTATTGGTGTAAATTAATGACCTGAAAAATTTGAGCGGCTCGAAAACATTTCCTTCGATGAAATCCAAAATTCGTTTTCCGAGATGAAGTTGTGTTGGATTTAGCTTATCACTTTCTTTTAGTTTCAGTTTTGATTGTCAGTTTAATTGTACAGCCTTTTACAGATTGTACAGATGCCCCTCTATGACCCAATGGCAGGGTAGCAATTTACAAGATATCTCAAATCGTATACTAAGTTAATTAAATCCTTTTCAGGAGGGACATCAATCGTCAATCAACAAAAGATACACTATGGTGTACGTTGGTTTTTTATTTCATTTGGTTGAGTGACCGGAAATTTTCTGGTATTGACCTAATGTTACAGGTGTTAAAACAAAACGAAGCAGCAAGGTGACTGAGTTCGATGTAGTTAACATTGTTACTCTTGAAAGTATCAAAGCAATATGGCTAGATATATTTTTAACGGTTTTAGGACAACGTTGTTCACAGATGGGCACAAGACAAAAGTGGATAGCGAACTAAGACAAACAAAATTAGCTTTCTGAAACTCAATATTTGAAGATTCAGCCATTTCCATCGATAGAAGTTATTCAACGAAACTAGCACTATAGCCAGGCGTAAAAGCATTTCGAATGAAAATCTCTAAAAAATTGGAATTGTTTGTATTGAGTATCCATCCAAAACTGTAGTAAAGATCCCTCAGACTCTATGTCAATAACCTTTGAAGAGAAATTCCACCTGCTTTTAACTCGCCTTTCTTTGGTGTTCTAGTTTCATCTAACTTGTTACAGCTTTTGTTATTCGACTTGTGTAAATTCCAATTCCTCTTCTTCCAATGAGACATTCACGGCACTCTTTGGATGCGATTCAACTAAGAAACTGTCTTGTCATGTCGTTCTGAAAATAGCATCTCACTTCCAGATGTGGTCAACATCAGAATATTTAAATACTTCTGAATGGTTAATGACTAAACAGCAGAAGAACTGAGTTACTCAAATTCGCGTGTGCATATGTGGGAATCTTGAAATTTCGCTCGTTCCGGAGCCTGGGAACTGATGATGCTTTCTCGTGATTTTCTATGAGCCAAAGACGTCGCACCCATATAATTCAGTGCGCATGGCTGGTCGTTGTTCCCAACCAATGGGGCGAATTCTTAACGCTATACATCGGAATGGTTTGCTAATTAGGTTCTTCACATAGCCATTTGCGTTTTTGTTTCCTGGGAAAACCTTTTCAATAAAGGGAAAACAATTATTAAGAGTCGAAAATATATTCCTGGGTATTTCGCGTGATATAAGCAGCGGATCACCAGTTTGGTTGTGGTCGTAAAAAATCTTACGACACAACTATTTTCCAGTTGAAAGAAAATTGTCCAGACGATTACATCTTTCTAGCTTGCCTATCTGGCGTTTTTTCAGCGCTAGATGCAAAGCGAAGGAAACAGAGCTTCGAATATTGGCAGCGAATCCATTCCGCCTCTCATAATTTCGTGCCAAACTTCTCGCGATTTCGTGGCATGTTCTCTCGGTTTCACCCCTCAACACCTCAAAGCGCAAAAAAAGGTCACCAGTTACGCAAGCCGGTATTTCCTCCGCCTTTGATCAACTTGTAAGCGATTCTGACTCAATCAGAATGTTAACTGCTCATAGTAATCGATAAAGCTTAAGTTATTCACTGCAGTAAACTACTTCATATGTCTAAGGCACGTTAGACATGTTTTAAGCGAAAAAAATTATGCTAAAAAATCTTCCTCGACCTATGATTAACTTGACTCATTTAACTGGTTGGAAATGAGCTTCCATGAGAGTATAAACACTAAAATTCCTACCCTCCTACTCGCGCCATCTTTATGTTTCATCCAAGTTTTTTCATCTTCACTGTATTCAAGAAAATATTGTTTCACCCAGCAGTCTGGCACTAGGTCATTTGCATCTCTCCAGCCTTGCGTGGCTACTGCTGTTATGAGTTTCACAACAGAAAATCTAATCTTTACAGAGGAAATACAAGATATGTAATTTGCTGCTAACATATCAATATATTTTTGAGTTAAAATTATAACGTTTTCACACACGTCGACAAAGTAAGAAGGCTGATAAAGAAGTCTATACATTTAACTAAGACATCGAGTTGGCCGTGGAAGGTCTGGGTACGAGACTATCCCCGCTCTTTCAGCTTCTTTATGTCATTTATTCACCCATTTATCTTTTAAATTAAACGACCAAAGGAGTAATGATTACCTCGTTTGAAATATCAAGCTCACACCAATAACCAGTGAAATAATTACTTCGTTTAAAACCTACCTCCAAATATGGATCCGAATCGTTTCTTAACGCTCGCCATCCTCCAGGCTTATAAATACGACCGCTGGCTGGTGGGCTGTCGGGTTCAGACGATGATGCAGATATTGTAAAGCTGCGTAATTTGTCATAAATACCCAGTGCATCACCATCGCAATCTATGGCAAAGCAGAAAAAAAATATCAAACTTTTTTTCTCAGTAAAGGTCCATATGCACACGGTAGTGCTCCCGCAACAGATTTCAGTCAATATCAGAGTCCGTATTTGGTTATAGAGATATTGACACAAATCTGGTTCGCCTTTTAACGCATTTGATTCACAATCATAAAACCGTGAAGTGACCACTGGCAGTGCATGGCTGATCTGAACTAAGAAAGTCAAACACGTCACGAAAAACTCAACGTAAAAAAAGAAAACTGACTGAGACTGAAGAGTCGGAACAAAACCGCGATCCAGGTTGTAGTTTTCCATGTGATCGGTTATGAGGGAGTTGCAAGTTCTTTTTTTCTGGACCGATCAGAGAAAGAATTTAAGCAAAATCGAGGATATCCCCGGTATTTTGAAAATCGGTTGAAAATGGATGTAGTTTGAGTTACTTGTGATTCGACGTAATGATAGTTTTACTTGATAGCATGATTTTTGTCTTACCTTGGCAGCTATTTCCACTGTACTTTGATGGGCACTGACACTCGTACCCAGGATTTTTCGTCCGTAATACGCATTTGCCACCATTTTGGCACGGAGGGTGCACGCATGCGTGATAGAGGCGATAAAGATTGTCAAAATGCACCGCGTTTTCTCGCGGTAAGAGGTTTTCAGGATGCGACAATCTGGTGCCCTTGTTCAGCTCACAAGATTTTGTGGAAAACAAGTAATTTGTACTGTAGCAGTCTGGGTGTCTCTCACACTTTGCTTGGCACTTTTCAACAGACGAAGTTACTAACACGGCTATCACGTGACCTTCTAGAGCGCGGTTTGAAACTGATTGCATAGTTCGGCAATATTGCTCACCGGCGAATATTGTTCGTAAAAACAGGCAAATGCAGTATAAAACGAAGCAGTTTTCTTCCAGAGCCATTTCCAATAACGTTGGATGGATGCGATACCTACAAACGACCAAAATAACATTGAATTCGCTTTTGATTCCAAATACACGAGATTCTGCACTAACCGGTCAGATTCAGCGGTATGTTAGTCCTCTCTCTTCTGATTTTTATCCCTTGTAATGTTTTTTTCCTTTTTTTTTCCACCAATTTCAGTAGAATAGTCTCCCCATCTTTCATTTAAAATCAGAGAAACTAAGGATTTCCACTGCCATCGCTTCGGAACCTACTAAAAGAGAAAGCAACTGATTCTACAAAGCTGCTCTTTTTTAATACACACCCTCGACAATGGAACATTAATCTATATGTAAATTTGATATATCTTCAGTGCCTGTCTTTTTTGAAGATTAAACATTTATGTCAGTAAGATGACCACGGCCTCTATTATTGGATCTTATTGGTATGATTAGATCAGGAGAAACTTGCTCTGTTTTCAGACATTAATTGTACATTTTCGTCATTTGCAACTTCAAAAAATTAAAACCTGCGTTATGATATTACCTTGTTTTGAAAGGTTGCAATAGAATTTTGCGGAAATGCAAAAAATTGTGACCGAAAATGCATCTGTCTCTATACTTATCACAAGTATTTAATTGAAAATTATAATAGATTCTCTTCACAAGCAAGAATTGCACAAAAAAACTGCACCACTGTTCACTAGATACTTACTGTAAGGGGCACAAAACTGATTCTGGTTTATGTAGAAGACATCTTGCATACATCGTCCCTACATTTTGGTTTTACATGCATTTCATATCCCAAACGACAAATTCAAAACGAGTTCAAAGACAGCTTTATGTGTGAAATAAACTCCCTTTGGTTGGGATTTCCCTTTCTAACACATTTAACCGTACACGGCCACGAAAATTGGTTTTTAAAAGAGAGTCGCATTTCTACCACGAAACAGCTATGAAAACCACCTGCTATGTAGAAGAACGCTGGTAATAAAAGGAAGAAAACGCGTCCCAAGTTCTGCATACTGCTCTATGATGCATTCCTTCATTTCTGAGTATTACCCTGCAGTGTTATTTTTGCTCTAAATTCATATTGATCTCGACTTACCTGAAGAGAAAAAGGCCAGTTGCTGTCTGATATATGAATGGGTTCAATGAAACAGTTAGTATCACAGTTCAAAATGGCAACTTATTGCTGTACTTCTTTACCACTTTGACGCAAATGACTTGCAGACAAACTTGTAAGTTGTATGTAGATGGAAAGATCGCCAATGAAAGTTTTCATTATTTATTTGCAAGTCCTCATGCTGTCATTTCATGGATCATATTTCAATTAATTCTAAAAGGAAAACGATTCACTTCACTTGCGGCTGGTTAAACTCTTTGAATTTTTTAGGTAAACAAAATGTAATTAAGCGCACGGGTTTGGTGTACAGCTCCAATCTATCTGCATCCTTCAACTAAACAGCATTCATCACACATAACATATTGCAAAGTCTGATATTAGGATAATCATGAACTGAGTCAATGAGATAGGAATGTTCCAATTTTAGCCAGTAAGTAAACTTGACTATCTATTTCTAGGAAAATGAATTAGCTGGACAAGGTTTGACATGTTTATGTGATATATATGCCTACGAGGAACCGGAAGAAACAAAAAATACCTAAAAATTTGCGTAAAAAATATATTCCACAAATTCAAAGACAGGGTGTTTATTCTTTGATGAATTTTCCACTGAAGTATTGATTTCTTGAGAATAACCCTATTTTTCCAGTCGTGGTTCCAGAAGCCTAACAATTTTTCAGCATCTTTCCTCCGTTCAGACAAGGAACACTTTAAATCTAAGTGATCAAGGCGACGTCAGTCACTGAAAATGAAAATACTGTTCTATTTGATCAATGTTCTGACTGATTTCATAAATGATTGACTGAATGATAAAATGTTTTCTTTCTTGTTACACACCCTGACGTCAAAAAGCAGCCCGCGTCGAAAGTCAGTAGGAAGAACTTTTCGCAAAAAGGTGACCTGCGCGGCTGGCAGTTTTTTTGTATACTTTGACGGTTTTTCGTGCGAGGTTCAACCACCCTTTTGAGGTATGAGTCCAAGGCTTTGTCAATCTTCAGTGCTGAAATAACAAAGCCTTTGTTGGGAGATAATTTAGAGGAAACACACGTTATATTGAGTTTTCACGATATTCAATTCTTTTTACTCGTGATCACTACATCCCAGCAGTACACAACATAGTAGACTCTCCGTCTTCCGTTTACACAAAGGTGTTCTAGTTGAGTGTCGAAAGCATTCTAGGATTGCATTGATTTTGCTTTTATTACATTTATCACTTTGCTCTGATATTGGTTTCGAAAAACCACGCCACCTTCTAAACCAATCAGAAGTAAGACGAACACTGATCGGGAACCGGCCATACTCGAACGCTTCGAACCTCTCAGCCTCTGATTTCTCACCCAGATTCTCTGCCGAGCTAAAGCGCATTTATGAAGCAACGTATGTAGCTTGAATGTAGCCCAACAAGAGAGTTAAACATGCTTCGGATGAAGAACAGTTGAACAGAGGACTAATGACATTTGTGGCACAGAATTAAATATCTTCTTTTGTTCCAGTTGGCCATTGAGATTACGGTTTAACAACATTCAAAGTGGAAGTGAAAATTCACGATACTTTGAGTAGCAGCTCCTTAAGATGGAAAGAAAGGGTTGGCAATGATCTACAAATGCACTAGCATGCCCAGAAATTACAGCTTGAGGCAATCAACGTGTTACGTACAGAATCGTTTATTACCTCTATCAGGATTCTACTAGGATGCCCAGAAATAACATCTTACAATTAGATCTTAAGGTAATCAGTGGGTTGCATTTACAGAATCGTTTATTACTTCTATCAGGATTCAATTCTTTGCAAATAAAAACTTCTGTACAGTCCCTGCCCACTTCCCTACCCCCTACCCCCTACCCCCTACCCCATGGGAAAATCTACTTCAGCTACTTCTGATAACTAGGACACATACCCAGACCCCTTCGGATCTTAAGTCCAACGCACTGAACATCAAGTAACTGTGTCTCACTAAGGAGAAGAAATTTGACAATAAATAACTTGAGGAATTTTCAATTTAGGGTAAAAAGAAACCGTAAAAATGACTAAGTCATTTGTGATCTGACAAAACTAGCACAATCCTTTCAACCATTCAGAAGCAGAACTAAAACCAACTGTCTCTTTCTCACTTGCATTTTTATGAATAGAAGGCATTAACATTCTCTTAATCAGATTTTTCCATCAGTTCCTGGAGACATTTGTTTTCCTTCTAACTGGCCATTGCAATTAAATATGTTTTTTTCTGTTTTACCAGACTAAAGTGAAAAGCACTCAAAAATAGTAAAAAATAAATATTACTATGTGCGGGCTCTAGCTATTCAAAATAAATAAAAGGTGCCTTCCCATTTCATATTAACAAGTGCTTAGCTTATAAATCACACTGTGCAGTTCATTATTAAAACAGGACCACCAACAGTTCCTAAAATGTCTGCTCTTGAACAGTAACATGGATTATGTTTGAGGCCGCAATCCAAAACAAAATTAGTGGACACTTTGTGCCTGAATAATACACTACAGGCATCATCACAGAATACAGATATTTGTACCAAGTCATTGTTAAAATAGTCACCTCCTATTCTGCATTGCTTTTTTTAGCAGAAGGTCACAGGCAGTGAGGTGGAGAGGGGGAGGGGGGCAAATAGATTATGGTACTAAGGTCAAAAGGAATACAAATAACATAAAGTGGGGGTGAAAATGTCCATGCATGAACAACTTCACTGCTGATTGTAGCCTTTTGTGAAGTTGGGGACATGCTTCATTTCACTACTGCTGTAACTTTCTGTCTAAGGCAGAGGTGGTGTCACTCACACCCTTTACAAACCAATATCACTACTATAACTTTGTCTTAAAGGCACAAGTGGCATCACTCATGCCCTTTAGCAACTGATATCACTATTAACATCAAATGTACAGAGTTGAGACTTTTGCATGACTTGATCATATGACCCAGTCAATCATGGAAAATAGTTGAGGTACAAAACAGCACAAAATGAAAAGAGGTTGATGAATCAGTAAGACCTCCAATTTTGAAGTCTCATATATAAATGCAAGATTTTTCTATCAATTTAGTGATACAATTAACAGCATTTGCTAGGAAGAAAAAAAGTTGCTAGATGACTTCATGCATACAAATTTGTAACAAACATCAAACTTTCAAACTTAGCTAAAATTTTGCACAGAAATGCTTGTGCCTTCTAAATTATTGCATACCATAGCAACCTTTCATGATCCACAAGGCTGTGATCAAGTCATGCAGGGGTCTTTTTATTTCAAGTGTCCATAATAGTTCAATGAAAGTTCAGCCATTCAATTAGATGGCATTTTCTGTTTCATTAACTTCCAGAAGCTTGGTGTCATGATGTCCTTCCCTTTGAACGACTTGGTTAAGAAACTCCCAGCCACCATTCCATTTGGGAGCTGTGTTGCTCCTCCATTCCGTCCAAGAGGCAGGGCCATGGCTGCATTACCAGGCTTGTATTCTTTTGGGCGTTTGCTTTCATTGAGCCGTTTGATATTTTCAGCAACTGCATCTGTAGACAAAATACCAATAAAAAGTAAGTTGTGATAAATACTGATGACAGTCACAAAACCTGCTAAATAGGTTTCCTTTAGGAGTGGGAGTGTCATGACCAATTTTGCATGCGAAATGTCCCTCCCTTGATTACTTTTTAACATTTCCATCAAAATCAATCAGAGATAGTTACCCATTTTAAGACATATTTAAGGTAAATTACAAGGTCTCCAAAATGGTCATCTTGGACATTAATACTGTTTACAACAACAAATCCTTAAAGTTTTAACTAGAAAACAAAATCTGTACAATCATCATTTAGTTATCATTTATTACCATTTTTTTTTTTAAAGATCAAGCTTACCAGCATGCAGTTTTGCAGTGTACGCTAGTTTCAATTCAGGGGTGTTGTTACAATCTCCAATAGCAAACACATTTTCAATCTCTTCCACTTGAAGGAATCTGTCAACTTTAAGACTTCCATTCTTTTCCATCTTGTCTGAGAGTTTGGATTGGTAAGCAACTGAATTGACCTTGAGTCCAGTACAGCGGAATACTAGATCTGCAGGCACACTGGTTCCCTGGTCGGTAGTAAGTGTCACTGGCCCTGTAATCCACGGTTTGTCTGAATCAAACTGTAAATGAAAATCATTTTCATAAAGTTTTCAGTAAAAAGTAACTAAAACTCAATTTTAGTAGAGCTGAGGGGAGTGTAAAAATCAAGCACCAGAAGTAGTAGGAATATACAGAGACATTGACAAATTCCTCTGGAAACATATTTGGCCTAAAGTTTCCAAAATGATAGTTTTTGCAACTCAACTCACATTCAGGTCATCCATGTCAACTCGTTCCCCAAGGACTGTCTCCACTTTCAGAGCCTTCATTCCATCCTGAATCTTTTTAACAAACTTGCGTGACAATCTGTCATCCAGTATTTGCTCCCTGTTGTGCATTAGTGTAACTTTCTTGTCTGGGAAGTCTGAGGCTAATTCACCAACTAACTCTACTCCCACAGGACCACCACCAATCACAACAATTTTGTTACTCTTTGCCACCTGAAAATGCACAAACAAGATAAAGTGGCTCCCTTCTCTCACACCTTCTTTGTTGCACTGTCAAAAATTAATTTACTGTTTTTCACCATGGTATAGACTGTTAAATAACAAAATTAAGACCTAAGTATTGAAGAAGTAACTACACCCACCGTTATTGCCTTGTAAATGCCATTACTTGTGTTTTAAATTACTGTCACATCTTAAGTGCATACAGTTAATCTTGAATAAGCTACTTTATAAATACAGGCCACCTATACTTCAAAATTATCAAATAGACACAGGGTGACAGTTTCATCGCACTCTTTTGGAACAGAACCATAAAAGAGTATCATGAAGTTTTAGGTTCTGAAGCATACCTGGTCGGCACAATCTCTGTAGAGCTTTTCAGCATCTTTCATGCTTGTTCCAAGGGGAACTTTACCTGTAAAAAGTGGAGGGAAAATTTTTTAACACTTCCTTTATTGTGATTGTTAAGATGTACAAAACAAATGAACTTTGGTGTTCTCCTAAAGAATTAGTAGACAAAGATATCATACTTTGTTGAATCAAATATGCAATACCAACGAACTAACAACAAAAATGTGAACATAACTGAAATTTCTAAAAATGTTTGGTGAGTTATGGCCATTTATAATGGAAATCAGGATACAAATGCAAACCACTGAACTACAAACAATATTGTTATTGCTCCTCATTTACTAAACTAATTGTCATTTAACACAAACTGAAGTAGAATTGGATTGATTAAAATGCCTTTATTACTGGACAAACATGCCTGAAATCTGTCTATCCAAAATTTCCCTGTATCCAAAATTTCCACGTATCAGCCACATTTTTTTATCACATTGGATATCAAGATTGTGTCAATAGTTTTAAACAAAAAGCATGGCAGCGAGTATTTCAATCAGTATAGATCTCTCACTTTTATTTTCAGGTTAAAAATTATCTGCCAAATAAATACAATACACATGCGAGCATCTGGAGCTTTGCAATTATACACCAACATGCTTAAATACACTTTACCTGGAAATGGTACAGATGAGCCACAAGCAAAGACAAGATAATCATAACTGATTTCTTCACTGCTAGCCAGTGTCACAGCCTTTCTGGAGATGTTGCAACTCACTACACGATTCTTTACAAAGGACCCATGCTTTAAAACACCTTCATAAGGAATCAGAGTCTTGTTGACAAATGCTGGTTCAACAATACACCGTAATCCTGCCATGTTGTGATGGAAAGCATCTTTAGGATCAATGAGAACGACCTTGCAGTAGCTGTCCAAGTCTATCGCAAGCTTCACTCCAGCATAACCACCGCCTACTATCACCACCTGACAGCTGTGCTTTGGTGCTGATGATGACGAGGAAGAAGAATTCCCCATCACATATGCGTATAATGTGCACTCATATGGAACCTGAAAATGAATGGATCCATCAAATACTTTGTTTGTATGAGGGAACAAACTACCAGGGGCTCATATCATGTCAAGACATCGCACAATCATGACAGCAATAATCACAACAGTGACACACATCAAAACATTAAGAGAAAGAGAACTCATCTCTATCTTTAGATTACAATTTCTTCAAGAGCAAGATTTAATCAGAGTGTTAAATGATAGAAGATAACATTTGAAAAGGACATAAAAAGATAATTTCCACTCAAAAAAAGTTCTAAGGATCACATTCTCAAAATACCTAATAAGTGATAATTTCATAAAATAATTTTTGAAACATACCCAATCTGGGAAAGTTTTTAGAGCTAATTAAACCAATATGCTCTGCCTCTATTAAGCTCATTTAAAAATCTTTTATTTCTCTGTGATTTCATCCTTGATAGTTTGCGAGATCATGTCAAAAGACCAGACACACACCTGTTAAAACTGGGCTAAATTCAGGGAATTTTCAATTGTTGCATTCATTTTTGAGGTAAGTAAGAATTCTGCAGTCACTTCAGAAAAAAGAAACAAACTTTCTTGTTGATTAACCCCTCAAGGAGAATGGTTTAAAGTTGAAATTTTCTGCCAAGAGCAGCTGGTTGAAAATGTTTATTCCTGCATATTGCAGAATTAATAAAATATCCCCAGTTTTCCTAAACTTTACTCATGGAAAACTGATGGAAAGCTTCAAAGAAAAGATACCATCTATTGAAAAACAGTACTCATAATGTTGCACTTAATTATAGGAGGCTCTTTTTAGCAATTGCATTTATTGTAAAGCTATTGAAAAAATGATTTATTTTAAATTAAATAAAATCCATCCTTATCACTGAAAGCTGTTGAAATCACTCTTAAAAACAGACTGCTGAAAGTAAGCAACAGTCATTGAACAATTAACTGCTTTGTTAAAAAATGTTTTGAATTCCAGCAAAGCTTTTGTCTTTTTTTTATGTAGGTTATATACATCTGTATATTTAAATGAAACACAACAAAAGTATTTGTGATTACAGTTTTCTAATCTTTACACCAGTTTCTTGCATTGTTTATGGATTCTTTAATTCAAAATGGCTTATATAAATTATGGGCTCCACTGGGTTGAAAAAAAGAAAGTATGTGTTACATTTAAAATCTTCTAGCTCTGCTCAGTTGTCATTTAACTTGAATTGGCTGATAAATCAATAAATTAAAACCTATTACGTGATTTATACAAATAATTAAATCACTTCTGTACATATTTACCCAACTAATGCTGTGAAGAAATTTGAATTTGATTGGGTGATGAAACCTTTTAGCAGAAAAAAAGTCAAGTTCTCGTAATTGTCACAATTAAGTATCTAAGTTTAGTTCCTCCAAATCTTCCAATCTCCAAGAGGAAAAATACTTTGATCTTCTTTGAAGAAGCAACATCATATTATCAAAATGTTTGAGGTTGCCACCTACGCACCGAGGAATCCAAGAATAGACCTAGATTTACCAACACAAATAAGGCTGCATGCATAATTTATGACAAACGTACAATGTCTGTTGAAGAGAGACATTGAATATTGCTGACGAATGGCAAATGACATGACCAAAAAATGGGTAGAAATAGTGTTAGGAATTTTTTACCCTGAAGATTCCAAGTAAGCATTGATATAAGAGTAATAATAGCAGAAGGTGTGTGCATTATTAAATTGTATGCAAGTATGCATGAGACGCCCTCATGAAATCCAGACATTTCATTGGCAAAACCCGATCAACTGTATTCTTGCTCACAAAATTAAAATCAAAAACTTATGTACTGTTGACCTGGATTTATACTTAGAACCCTCACAGAGCTTGGATTTCTTTTATCACATATAAAGCCACTAAAATTACAGGGAATAGCTTTCTTGAACCTCTTCTGATTTTGTGCCCGGTCATGGAAAAATAATAAAAACAATTTCATATGTGTGCACGGAGACTTGAACTGTTTCATCATCGGAAGGTATTGTTCGGTGGATAAGAACCATATCATCTACTTGATAAATTTCTTACCTTAAAAGCAGCTTCGAGTTATGTCTGGGCTCAATCGAACCACTAAATCTTCTCGAATGCTTCGTTCGCCTAAGAAAGCCTTAGAAGGATAAACTTGACAGCTCCTTTAAGTCGACGCTGAGCCCGCAAGGAAAATGCCTTTGTAAATAACAATAACGCACGCGTAATAACATGTGATGAATCAATATGGCGGACGGTTTGCTTTCGTTGATTGCCAATGGTAGTAACGCCTTATTTCTAGGTAATGTCACAATCTGTCACTTTACTTCTACGGTTGTTAAATGATATTGTGATTTCACGTCATTTTACCCTCATTGTGCTTCGTTGCAATGTTTCAAACGAATTCCATTCAAATTTGATTCACCCGCGGGCCAGAAACCAGCCATCGAAGATGTGGAGTGAAGTTTAATAACCTGTAACTTGGAGCTCTTATATCAGGCTCAGAATTTAACCCTTCATTGTTTGACTCTTCCAAGTAGAATTATTGATAACAGAAACACTAGAAATTTCGAGAATTTTGGCTTTAAAGGTCTTAAAAAGTTGAGTTTTGTTTTTGCGAAAACCTTCTCCAAAGTCGAAGAAGACAGCTGATCTTCATTGCTTTGTTCACATTATTTGTAATACCGAGGGGAAGTGAGCAACACGCGGATGAGTGCAATTATCGATGCTTCAAATTTTTATATTTGCACGTGCTGTTGGTATTAGAATTAAACTTGGAATGATACTGATTTTTCTACTCAAACGTTATTTAAGATAGCGTAATTTCTGAACTTTTGTGATCAGCTGTAGACTGGAGAAAGGTTTTCTTCTGTGCTACTTTCGTATCTTTAGAAGATCAAGAGTTCTTTTGATTTTGCTTGGACTTTATTTGATTGAAAACATTATTTTTAAAAGGGGTCAGGAGATTTTAGATTTATATTTCTCTTGGTCAAATTTCATGCTTGATAGGGATGGTCAAGATTTTGTAAAGGAAATGTGTGCAGAAATGATGGATGTTAGTCGAGATGAAGCCAAGCGGATTCTCAGGAGGCTTGGTAAGCTGAATTTGTATTTTTGGATTTTACTTTATATCTTTCCTGCACATTTGTATGATGCTTGACAAGTCAGACTATACTGAAATGACTTGAATACTTATTTTCAGAGCTAGAGGCATATTCATCCATCATCAGTGCTTTCAGGGCCCAGGGAGAGTTAAGTCGGTGAGTGTGGAAGTTATGTTTTAGCAATAAATAGTTGTAATGTCAAGAATTGTGGAGTCAAGATTCAGAGATCTTTTTGGGAAAATGCTGAAACTGTGAAGCCACTAGGTCATAAACCTTTTAGATTTGAATTAAATCAATCATACACTATGTCTGCCATGCATTTCTAATTTTTTAAGCTTTGAGAATTTGGTGTGAGTTAAACAATGGCTCCTTTTTTATCATTTGGGTCTCTTCTTCTGACAATTTTGCTTAGTAATGTAATGGTATTGTTAGGAGAGATTTCTGATTGATATCATTGAGAGTGAAAGAGTTTGACTGCTATGAATAACTTACCTTGAACAATAGAGTAGCCTTTCATTCATTCCATCCTTAATTTCAATATACCAAATTACCTTAAAATAAGCTGTTATTTTTTTTAACGTCTTGTAAATAAAGTCTACACCTTTGCCTTTTTCTCCATATTGAAATCCATCATTGACTGAATATTAACAGGGCTAAAAAGAAGATCTTGCAAGATCTTGGAACTCAGCTGAGGTAATGGTTTGAAAAGCTATATTGCAATTTTCTCTACATTTCTTACATATAGTTAACCACTGCAAAGTTAATTGTATTGTTTAAAACTTATGTGAAGATCTTTTTTTTTTTCCGACAGTATTTCAACCGAGCGTCACAGGGCTGAAGTCCGAAGAGCCTACAGTGATGATAGACTTGGCATTGTGGCTGAGAGGTACAGAAATAATTAAGCACATTGTATCAAAATAAGTAATTCTGTCATGAGTTGCTATCCTCACAGGTAGGACAAATAGGCAGATAGTTCACAAAAATAAGTTTTTTTAGGGCAAGACACTCGACTCTTTCAGTGAATCTCTTCACCCTGGAGTATAAAGGGATGTTGGTAAACTGTTAGCCAAACCTGACAAATTGCAGACAGTATTCTGCGATGGACAACATCTTGTTGAAGAGGAGAAACAAAACTCTTAATCACTCATGGCCAAATTCTAGCAGTAACAGACTATTAGTCTGTCATCCTTATTGTTGTCTGATCTGTTACAGAATCAAGTTCCTTTGACAATTTTTAATAGATGTCCAACACCTACTGTTTTACCCACAATCTAGACACTTTTCTCTCTTATACTGTTCTAGTATTTATGGTGCAGGCAGCTGTGCAGAATGGGCAGCAGAGGGGAGAAGGCTTGTACCACTCATGCCACGCCTTGTTCCACAAACAGTGTTCAGCTCCTCAGCAACTGCTGCTGCAAATTCTGCAGCTGCAGCAAATGCTAAACTTCCTGTTTCATCAGGTAATGTAGGGGGTTAATCCACTCTGATTTTAAACCAAGCACAGTCTACTAAAGTCATCCAAAACAAAGTTTTTAAGAGAAACCCAAACAATAAGAATTTTGATTTATTTTGTCATTCGCAGAATATTGTTGATTTCTATCTAAAAGTGTGATCACTGTCATGGCTTTAGCCTGGTCAGTTACAATCAATGACAAAATTGTGAAAACATTGCCATCTGGAACCAATAATCTCAAATGAAAAAGGAAACTGATTCTATTATCAATTACTCTATGTCCTCCTCTTCTGATCACTGTTGTTCGTAAATTATTTCTTGCTACTTTACTCAGGGCAGAGAGCTTAAATTCAGATTTATTCAGTTGTAAATACAATCTTTGCACATATATTGGGTATCAAATAACTTTTATTGCCATATCAGGTTCAGATTCCAATGACCTGCTTTACTAAATTCATTGAGTTGGATGGTTTTCATTTTTCTGTTTTAGCTAATAAAGCTGGTAGTAGTTCAAGTGCATCTGTTAACACATCATCTTCACTGACAAGCCAGCAAAATAGTAAGACCACGGCAGCCGTAAAACAACCTCAGACAGGTATCCAAGATCTGCTGTACAATTCCTATCCAAGATCTGATTGTTAATTTTTGCCTTAAGCTGATACATATTTCCTTGCAAATTATTTACCAGAATTTGGTGTTACTCATCAATATAACAACTTCTACCTGATTAATTTGAGTATTCTCATTACCTGTTTACTAAATAAGGTATGTATATTATTGGGAGAAGTTGCATGTTCATCACTTCCAGGAGTTTAAGGGTTAAGAGATTTGGGAGATATATTAGGATATATACTCTAGCTGGTAGGTACATCTATAGCTGTTCCCATGACCTGTTTGCCAGATGATGTCATGATATTCTGATACATGCCCAGATTCTAATCACCTCTGGAAGTATTGTTGGTGGATGTAGAGATGCCAACTGATTGTTTTTCAAATTAATTGTATTTATTTCATTCCATAGGTGGAACTTCATGGATGTGGAGGAGGCCACTAGACTGTTTTTAAAATTAATCATTTTATTTTGTTCTATAGGTGGAACTCCATCAAATGATGCTGATGCTTATGATGATGATGATGGAAAGCCAAAGAGAAAAAGACGTTTAAGCGTGACGAGCCTCAACAAGCCAGTTACAAAAGTGACCATCCCCACCCCCTCCCTGGTGTCAAAAGCTTTCACCAAACAGACCACATCAGTGAGCACTATGACTAAGTCTGGTAAATCTCTTGGTCCAGCAGGGACAATCAAAGCTGTCCCACGTACCACAAATCTTCCTGCATCAGCAGCACAAGTAAAACTACTCACCAAGACGGTGGCAGTGTCCCAAACCAAGACAATCCTGAGCTATAAGGCAATGACATCGACAACATCATCACCTGCAAAAGTCCAAACAGCTGTGACACAGTCGTCACCAAAGACTCAAACAAAAACTGCATCTGGAGTGCCCCCCAAGACAGTGCTTACTTCAAAAGCTCCATTGTCCACTGCAGTGAAGAATGTCTCGACAGGAGCTTCAAGTCCAGTAGCCACTGCGAGTCCTGCTGGACTGACACTCAAAACTGGTTTGACAGCAGCTCAGTTAGCGGCAAGACACAAAGTGAAACCTGCAGCTGCCAGATTCAAACCTCTTCCAGGAACTGTGAAGTTCAAGTCAGTCACACCAGCTACTATGGGAACCTGTTCCACTGTTACTATGGTAACACCCAGTCCTAGTTCTCAAGCCTCCTCTACCTTACCTGTGTCAAACACACAGCCAGTTGTCCGTGTCATTCATGTTCCAGGAACTGGAGGTGTTGGTGGGAGTAAACCTGTTGTTGTCATGACAACAGGTCTCAGTAAAACAACTGTCGCTGGTGTGGTTCCTGGAAGCAGTAGTCCTTCTAGTCTTACAAAGGCAACTTCTCAGGTAAGTAATAAATAGTCTTATTTACAATTTTTTCTCACCGGCCCAACATTTACAATAACAAACATTTCAACAAACAAGGAAGGATCATCTTCAAAGCAGTGACAACACATGATAATAGCTGCAGCTTAATGAAAATGAGATAACTTGTGTGGTACTCACTCATACAATGTACACCTGTAAGCATCCACACAGGTAAGATTTTCCCTTCAGATCTGCTTCCTTGTCAGTCGAACATGATTTCTTTTTTCCTGTTTTGAGGTTCTACTGTATGAATTTAACCCAGATTATAATTTGAATTTATATTAAATTTACACTCTCTGATAATTTTGCTCTTTGATGGGAGAAAGTAGGGCCCTGCTGGATGGGTTGAAAGGTTGAAAGTTCTGGGTGCAAGCCTTGGCTGGGTCACAGTGTTGTGTTCTTGGGTAGGATACTTTACTCTCACTCTGGCTCTCTGGACCAAAGGTTAAATTAAATTTATACCAAGGGAACTCCCAGGAGACCTCACAAAATGCTGGGTGTATAACTTGGAATGGAAGGGTATTTCATACAAGTGGAATATTAGTACTCTTAGTGGTTTCACCTCATGGAAAATGGCTATAGCAGCCATGTTAGTCTAACCAATATGGGATATAATGTACGTTTTTTTATGTATGCTGTATTAATAGGTGGTA